CAACAGGAGCAGAGATTGATGAAAGCTCAGCAGAACGAGGGCCTGGGAGCACAGGGAGAGGAACTGGAGGTCAGGCAGGTTAAGGACTCATTTCTGGCTCACCACAGCCCCTCTGGATGAGGACAGATGGGCAGGCACAGCCTGGTCTCTCCTGCAGCTCCCCAGCAGAGGAACCAGCAGCAGTTAAAGGCCTGTTTGCTTCACCTCACCTGCTTTTGCTTTCATGCAATAATTGTCTAAGTTATTTGCATTTTAAGAGACCATTTTTCCAAAAAAAATCCTACCCTCTCCTGTTTGATGTGTTGCCCCATCCCTGGAAGAGTGCAAGGACAGCCTGGACAGGGCTTGGAGCAACTTGGGATAGTGGAAGGTCATTCCAAACCAAAGCAGTCTGTGGTTCCGTGATTCTGGGATGCTGCACTTGGATTTGGGACGGTGAAGGCCCCCAGAGCAGCAGAGCACAGGAACAGAGCAAAGGGAGGAAGGTGCAGCAGCACCCCAGTCCCTGCTGTGCTGTCCCCTGTCCCCCTGCCCCACAGCTCACCCCCAGCCACTTGGAGAAGTTCCTGATGGAGACAGTAATATCTGAAATTTCTCTCATTTTCAGGCATGGAAAGAGAAATGTTCAGTTTTAACTGGGATGCCTAATGAAGATTTATTTATGTGGGAATAACCACTCTTCCTTGGAGTAACTGGGTTATTTTTTCATGACCACTAGACCTTAGATCTGCTCCTCATTTCTTTCCGTACCCACAGAGGGCAAAGAAATAGCCATACTTGGTCAGTGAGAAAATGAAATTAAATGCAAATAGACATGTACTGACTAAATCTGAGTTTCCCAAGGTTATTATTTCCCTAAATGCCAAGTCCCTGGGGTGAAGGAGGGGCAGCATCAGCCTGGGCCAGGGCTGGCATGTGGGGGCTCAGCCTGGCCCATGGCCCCATCCACCAGGGCCCCGGGCCTGAGGGTGAGGATGGGCACAGCACTGGGAACACTGGCAGGCCTGGAGGCACGGATGAACATGGGAAGGGTGTTAAACTGGCTGTGTCTCCTTGGCTGCGACCACCCAGTGCCACCCCTGACACAGGCAGGCACAGCTTCCACTGGCCCAGGCCACTCCACGCCCTGGCCAGCTTGGCCTTGGAAATTCTCAGGGATGAGGCAGCCCCAGCTGCTCTGGGCAGCTGTGCCAGGGCCTGCCCACCCTGCCAGGGAACGATTCCTGCCCAAAATCCCATTGAACCCTCCCCTGTAAGGCATTCCCTTGCCCTTGCCCTGCCTCAGCTGAAGAACGCATCTCTGCTGGAAACACCGTGCTCTCTGCTTCGTGCTTGGCTGTTTTCTGAGGAAGCTGCTTCCTGCAGAGGCAGGATAAAGACACCCAGCAGGACACAGACACCAAAGGGACACAGAAACCAAAGGGACACAGAAACCCAGCACTGCTTTGGACACAAATCCCTGCCCAGGGTTCGGTGGCCCCGGTGGCTGCAGCCACAGCGACAGCTCCTGGCACGGGGCAGCAGTCCCGCTGACTCACCCAGTACAACTCCTGCCCAGAGCAGTTTTTCCATAAAAATAAACCCAGCCCTAATAAATAAATGCATTCCCATCGTAAAAGCCCGATTGGTGGCTGGGAAGGAAGAGCCTGAGCCCTGCAGCAAAACAATTTCCCTCTGGATTGGAGACTCTGCACTGTGCTCCAGGGAAAGCTGATGAGAAGGAGCTCCTTTCCTGGGGAGGGGGACAGGGGGACCAGCAGCGAGGTGGAGGGACCCCAGCCCCAGCACTTCACGGCTGCAGCAGAGGAAGAAGCGACACTCGCTGATGAGGGGGATTTGGGAACTGGCGCAGCTCCCGGCAGAGCAGACCTGGGGGATACACGAGCATTTAGCAGTGCTCAAGGGCTTTTGTAAACAGAAGCTCAAACAAACATCTCTCGTTTCACAGATGGTGCTCACAGTTTACAGCTGGCACATTTAAAGGCCACCTTGGACACACTGGTGCTCACGGCCTCAAATGGGACACAAGAAACGCCCCAGGCCTGCAGGCCTCAACATCTGCACTCCAAGGAGCCTCCCTCTGGCACCCACTGGAGTTATTTCCACAGGAATATCAGTGGGACTCCTCAGTAGGAACAAAGAACATCAGAATGACCCAACTGCTTTCCCTGCAGCTCCCCGGTGAGCGCAGGCTCCCAGCTCAGCAGGCCGGGGGCTGCCAGCACACAGCCCCTCCTGAACAGCTGCCCACAGCTAAGAATTACAAAAAACTGGGAACACAAGAGAAAACCCCAAAGTCCTGAAGCAGAGCTCAGGGATAGGTATCACAGGAGCAGCAGAGGATCTGGCAGAGTTCAAAGGAGCACAAACCTCGAGGCACCTCCAGGTGCTCCCCATGGCCACAGATCCTAACTGTGGGCCCAGTAATTCCAGGGGAGCACCAGAACCCCCGGCACGCCAGCAGCAGGGCCCCAGCCTGGGGCACAGAGCGAGGCAAAGCCCACATTTCTCAGCTGCTGGGACAAACAGAAGTGTCTTTATGGGGACGTTATTTGGGCAGCCCCGCGGAGCAGCGGGGACGGAGCCGCCGGACACTGGCACCATTCAGACACCCTGCCCCAGCCAGCCTGCAGCCACAGGGCAGGGCTGGGGACAGTCCTGCTGCTGGCAGCCCTCCTCACCCTCCTCATCCTCACCACTGCAAACCCAGGCCCACCAAGGGCAGAACCCCACGGAGCTCTCAAAAACACAGGCACAACCCCCTTGCCGGGCAAGCGCGGGGAGTGACATCCACACACGCTCAATCAAATCAGGTTAGATGTTGCACTTCTCATTGAAAGATTGGATTAAAGACATTTAAATGGTCCAATATTTGGGGTCACAGAGGATATTTGTCCTGTGGATCCGTATTTCAACCTTTAGCTCAACACAGCCCAGAACCCCGTATGTTTCTGTGTGTGTAGGAATTATCTCATGATCACCCAGCTTGTGGAAAAGCACCAAATGGCACCAGCACTGCCAGAGCCAGGAGCTCCAGCACTGTCCTGCTCAGCTCAGCTCACCTCACAGAAATAAAGGCTCTGTAACTGGCACAAGCATCTGGTTCAGTGCCAGCCCGCTGACCTAATCCCTCGGGAACAGCACGGTGCCTCCACTCCCCAGAGACCCACACAGCTTTAACTGAGTGGTTCTGCTGAATTCCTTTCTAACTCCTGGTAAGAAAGAAATCATTAGGAAGAGGCAGCTCTTGGAATCTGAAAAACTGTGAATTTGGCAAGCAATCCTTGTAAGGTCCCAGCAACACCCAGGCTCATTCTGTGATAAGACACACCATTTTTTTTCCCCTTTGAAGGATAAACAGACTAAAGCCATCCTGTTTTGGGAATGGGATGAGACTGACTCCAGAGCTTCAACCAGGCATGACAGAGAGAAGCATCTTTACTCTGTATGTACCATATGTAAAGCACAGCCTTGATTTGGAGGTGTCCTACCTTTGGGTGGTCTGTCCTGCCCCACAGCTCTCCCCTGTGGGATGATCCCCACGGAGCAGGCACGGCACAGGGCTGGGCACACCGAGGAGAGGCTGGGGGGCTGCTGCAGCTCGGGGTTTAGTGGCAGGAGGAGGATGATGGAAGCAGAGCAGATGGTGAAGCTGGATGAAGCCTGTGTCCGTTCCACACTTACCTTCCTGCCTGGCAGAGCCGGGCAGGGCCTGGAGCCATCCCGAATGCTGCAGGGAGAGCTGCACCTCAAACCCCAAACCCAACCCAGCCAAGGCAACAGCGTCACCCTGCCCACAGCACCCGTCCCAGCACCCTGCCGAGCCCCCTCTGGCACCCAGCGAGCCCAGGCATGGCCCTGCTGCCCCCAGGGCATGGGGGCAGCTCTGGAGCAGTGGGAACCGGGAGTGTTGGGGCTGTGGGAGGGTGGGAAGGACGGTGTCCCTGCACTGGGACATCCCACAGCCGGCAGCGCCGGGAGGGGAGCAGCGTTCCTGCCGCCCATCCGCAGGGATGCTCCATCTCCTGCAGGTCAGGGATGCTCCATCTATCTCCTGCAGGTCAGGGATGCTCCATCTATCTCCTGCAGGTCAGGGATGCTCCATCTCCTGCAAGTCAGGGATGCTCCATCTCCTGCAGGTCAGGGATGCTCCATCTCCTGCAGGTCAGGGATGCTCCATCTCCTGCAGGTCAGGGATGCTCCATCTCCTGCAGGTCAGGGATGCTCCATCTCCTGCAGGTCAGGGATGCTCCATCTCCTGCAGGTCAGGGATGCTCCATCTCCTGCAGGTCAGGGATGCTCCATCTCCTGCAGGTCAGGGATGCTCCATCTCCTGCAGGTCAGGGATGCTCCATCTCCTGCAGGTCAGGGATGCTCCATCTCCTGCAGGTCAGGGATGCTCCATCTCCTGCAGGTCTGAGCAGCCCTTCACATGGTGGGGAAGGGAGCTTCTGTGGGAAAATGCTGCGGGGCCGCAGGAAGGAAATTCCCCCGGTGGAGCCGCCATCGCGCGAGGGCTCCGCGCGGCGAGTTCAGGGACTTCATAAATAACTCGGCCGTCCCCAGGGAGGCTTTGCTAAGGTCACTATTTTTTCCCTTGAACTTTCCAGATGAAGGAAGCAATAGCAGAAGCAACAGCACAGATTTGGCCGGAGATCAACTGTACTGACAACAGTCGCAGGATTGAACTCAGAAGAAAAGTCCTTTGTGCGTGTTGGAGTTATCACCAGATGGGCCGGGCAGCACTGGCGAGTTCTGCTCAAAATTATTCCGCGTGGACAAAACCATCAGAGCTGGAACCGATGGCAGATGTAACCCACAGAAACTAATTCCACTGCTTACACCGAGTTAAAAATGGAGGGCCAACGTTTGGCGCCCATTAAAAATTAAAATGTGAAATTGTATTCTTCAGCATACTGCTGAGGTTGAGAATAAGAAACAATTCTAATTAAAGATTAAGGATGGAGAGTCTATAAAACACTAATTACCATTGTACTTACAGGGAATTCGGCCTGTTGGGCTTAATTACTTCTAGTTCAAGATCACTCGAGTTCAGGCTGGGCTGGGGAGCGCTGTTGGAGTTGAGGAAGCTGTTTGCGTTTGAAGAGATGACGGATTCCAGGCTGGAGTTGATGATGCTGTTCCTGTTCTCCTCTAAAAGACACCAAAACCCAAGAATCACCAGCTGCCACTGCAGACAAAGTGAAGGACAAATGGCTGTCAGGGCATGGAGTGTTCCAGGAAACCCTGTGCCAGTGCAAACAGGGACATCTCCCCAGAGCTCAGTTAGTTACTGACACATTATACATTAAACCACAAGAAATACCAGGTACCCTTTGGCTCTTTTGGGTTTAAGATACAGATACATTTAAATGAACGCCATTTTTAGTAGAAAAATACACACTTTTCTCAAGGTATTAATATTTTACATTCCCAGCAGCATCCAAAATGCCACAACCTGAAAGAAATAGAAATGTAAGCTATGTACAGGAATGGATTTGTGTGACTGAAATCAGTCTCAAAGGACAGAGGGTTTGGTGACAGAGCAGGACAATGAGCCAACAAGCAGCACAGACATTTCTCTGTCCCCAAGTCTGAAAGCTGAACCCTCAGGGCTCAGAGGCACCAGCGTCTTGTGATGAAAAAGATGATCCAAGCAAAGAGGGAAGAGTGAAGAAAACCAGAGCACTGACCTCCACAAATACTGACAGGCAGATGTGGCAGCCAGCAGATGAAAAAGAAAAGAAATTAAGCTGTCTAAGGACCTAAAAACCCCAAATCCCTCTGTTTTTGCAACCGCCAGAGCAGGTTTTAGGCAGCCCATGAGAGGCCACCTGTGCACAGTGGCCAAGTGCAGGGACTGCCCATGCTGAGCCTGGCCAGCCCCAAAGCCCTGAGGAGCTGACCTGAACCTTGGAGTGTGGACTGACACCAGCCTAGTATTTGCAAACATCTTCTGCCCAAGGCTGAAGGCTGGGAATAAGCTCCATAAGCTTGGCAGCTCAGCGTGGATTGTCCCTCTAATCTCCACAGCAGCCACGTGCCAAGAGCGAGTTCGGAGTCCCGACAGCCACAGGAATGGAAATGCCTCAGCTCAAGGGGAAGGGAGATGAATGGCAGAATCTGAAACTCCTGCTTTATTTTACTTCCTCCTTTTTAAAAGGGTGAAACTGTACTTTGCTTCATGTTTTCGAAAGCTCATGTGAAGGATTCTTCGCTGGAAGATTTAATTTGGTTTTACAGCCCCAAGAGCAGAGCTGCCCATCAGCTCAAGGGCGTTTCCAGCACACAGAGAAAGGAAAAGCCTTTCACCCCTTCCCCAAACTTTCTGTCTGTGGTGGGAGGTCAGGCAGGCAGAGCCACTGGATCCTCACCTTTGTCTCCAGGAACACTTGGATGGGGCAGGGCTCTGCCTGATAACTGATCAGGGCACTTTGGTGACAGTGACCCCAGGGACCAGAGAGGGGATGACAAAAGAACTGATAAGGAAGAAAATGGTGTTTGCTGTGTTGGTGACACTTGTGTCACCCTACTCCCTGGGTCAGATATGGATAAAAAAGTAAATGTTTAACAACAAAATAATCACTATAATCATAGATTAATCACAATTACCTAATCTGCTCCCTGTATGCTGAACGTGATAATTTTTGACTTAGACACAGCCTGGTAGTGAAAATTTTAGAAAGATATTGGACTTTGATGAACAGATTTCAAGTGATGGAAAAATCCACTCTCCCATTCCACTTCTTTTTATGTCAAACTGCTCCCAGTCTTAAAAAATGTGCACCCTGCTCCCATTTAGAATGTTTCTAGCTTCAATTTCAACTTTCCATTTCTGTGGTGCTCAACTGGGCTTGTGAAGCCCTTGTGCTTCACCCTGACTTAAGAGCCTTGGTCTGTCTCCAGACCAGTAAGGAAGCAAAGGAAGAAGAAAAGAAGAAGAAAAGAAACCTCACATATTTCTTGTGATGTGCAGCAGGGAAGGCAAATAAAACAGGAGTGGCTTCCCAAAGACACAGGAGGTTATGGACTGTCAGGAGAGAAAACAAGAAAATGTTGCTTCACATGGGAATAAATAAATGCAGAAATAAAGAAATGAGCTCAGTTCCTCTCCCAGGCATGGGGAGCATGGCACACAGAGGCTCCAGCAGCCCAGAGAGCCTGGAGGCTGGCAAGCCACTGCTTAGTTAGCAGCAAATAAATTACTGGGGCTCCAAGTTTTCAAAAGCGGCGTTTGATATTTGAGGCTTCACCGAGGGCTGTCCCACACCATTTCCAGAGCACGCTCTGGGGCCAGCACTGCTTCCTCAAACCCACGCGGATCTTTCCGCCACCCTCCCAAAGGAGAGTGCCTGGTGATTAACAGTAACTTAATCAGACAAACCCACGTGTTTTGAGAGTCAGCAAAGTCCACAGCAACCACTCTGTGCACCCTGGGGAGCTGGCTATCCCCAGCCCTCCCCTGCTCCTGGCTCCACGTGTGCCTGTCCTGCTCACCAGGAGACTCTGGCTTTTTTACCGAAGCGGGAGAGCTCCCTGTGTGCAGCTGCCTGGCTCTGGGAGCACACGGGCAGGAAGAAGCAGAGCTGGGAACTGGGTTTGCTCTGTAACATGAAACAACAGCCTGAGCAGACACATTTCTGCCACCCCATGAGCAGGGCTGGGGCCTTGGCTCCTTCACCCAAATATCTGGAGCTTCAATTAGTGACAGAAATGGAAAGATGAGCTCCAACATTTTTAAACTGCCACGGTACATAATCCTCAGGAAAATGCCGAACCTCCTGGCCGAGTTTTCCTGTCTGTAAAAGGCAAAGTGCCCGAGGGCATCCCGAAAGGGCCGCCCTGGGGGGACGCCGGCGGGCCCTGGGCACAGGTGTGGCACCCTCGTCCCGCAGCTGATGGCAGCGATGACGGGCCCAGGAACATGAGAAGGGGACACGCAGGGGCCCGTCAGGTGGGGAGGGCACAGCAACACTTTATCCCGTGCTAAGGCAGCCCCATGCCGAGCCCCAGCTAAGGGCTTGGATGCCAGGAGAGATTCCACTCCCCACTAACGCAACAGCAGAGGAAACCGAAGCCTGACCCTGTTATGGAATCATCCCTTCCACTGACAGCGGGAAAGCTGCAGGGGAATGGCACGGGAATGACACTCTGAAAGGCGTGATTAGGGCAAGGCTGCAGGGCTGGGAGGGCACTCACGCTTCTCGTTGGGCTGGGGCGTGTGGAAGAGCGTCAGCGGCCGCTCGCTGCACGAGGGAGGCTTCGACTCCGTGCTCTTCTTGCGGGATAACAGCAGCTGCGAGTTCGACGCCGGAGCCTCTGGCACCGTGTTAAATATCTGTTAAAAACAATAAACAAGCTGTTCTTTGGCATCACCCCGTGGAACAGGACAGCTGCCCACCTGCCTGGGCTGCACGGCCCCACAGCGCAGCCTCTGAGGGGGACATGCCCTCAACAGGGCAACATTTTGGGGACGGATTCCTAAATTCCACGTTCCCTCTCTGTCTGCACTCCTCTCCTTTTCACCTGCAAGCTGTGCAGATGCACACTGCAAGCTGTGAAGAACCCTGAGACTCTGGCACTCTGCTGACTTTCTGGGGGTGCAGGTGATGATGAGCAGCCCAGACAGAGCAGCCAGTGTCCCCCCTGTGCCCCCACTGAGAGATCAGCCCACGGCTGCAGACCAGATTGGGAAAGTCTTTGCAACTTCCAGCCACAGCTGTCAGAAAACTGAGTAATCACATTTTTCTCAAGGGGGTGAAATTTTAAAACTGCGCAAACCCAAAGAGCAGCAGCCTCGTTGGTTGCTGATATTTGGTTATGTATTGTTCCTTTTCTGGACCCCCAGGCTCAGAGAAGGGCAGTGACCCCTCCAGACCAGCTCTCTCAAAGTCTCCCTCCACTGCTGGAGTCCATTAAATCCATTCTTCAGTGTCTTTCCTGCTCTACCTGTCCCTGCCAGACAGACAATTGGCACGGCCAGGTGTTCCCAACAGGAAAAGCACACGTTGTCTTGCTCAAGACAGAACTGGATGTGGACTTAGAGCTGTGGTGCCACCCCAGCCAGGGCAAGCTGGTTTCTACTTCTGCCTTCACTGCCCAAATGCACAAATCCGTTACTCCTTTCCAATCAAAACCAGGCTGACAGAAGATCATCATCAGGGAACTGGCTGCACTTAGAAGAAAATGGTATTTTTTAGCAAGGCAGCCAGGGAGGGACAGCCAGGACCTCGGCCCCACCGAGCCACCACTGCTGCACTGACAGACCACAACATCCACAGCCAACAAACACAAACCCATCAGGATCCAGATCAACACTGTGGATAAAGCCAGCTCTTGGATAAACCTGGATTTAGCCAGCAAAGCAGGAGCCAGCCCAGTCGTGCACCTCAGTGTTTCGCTTCAGCGTTCATCTCTTGAAACCAAGGACAAACTGCCATGAACAAGTGGGAAGAGGGGAGAAAGGGAATTTCTGTGATGGAGGCACAGCCATGCTGACTCACTCTGGGCTGACCATAAACAAGGCTGGCTACTGGCAGCACTGGTCACACAACTACAGCCCAAGAAGCAGGTGCCAGCTGCCCTCTCCCCAGCACAGCCCCACCGTGGTGCCACTGGCCATGGGGAGAGAGGGGCCTGGGAGAGGGGGCTGCCATGGGCAAAGACCAATTCCTTTCCATAAACTACTGGCATGAAAGAAGCAAGGGAAGCCATTACCTTCTCATGGTTTTCTATTAAAATTTCAATCACAATGTTCTGGAATTTGATGTCCATAATGGCAGCGACTGTTTCCTCTTGAGGTCGAAGCAGCGTCGGCCCAAACACCACACCCAAGTTAGCAACAGTCATCAGGTTCTGCTTGTGATTATCTGCAACTCTGGGAAAAAAAAGAGAAAGAAAATGAAGTAGGTGATGGAACTAATCCACAGGGAACCCCCTCCCTGCCTCGTGGCTGGCACAAGGCTTACAACGCTGTTTACATTTTTCACGCTCCTGGTGAGCTCCTTGAAGGCTCAGCCATGTGGAAAAGTACAAATTTAACTGTTGTGTTCCTGGAGACCTTTCAGCCTCCATGAATTGACTAATCCCATAAAAAAAAACCTCAACCCCACGCCAGCCACTGAGCCTCATGCTGCAAACCACTCCCAGGAAAACATCTTGAATCATTAATGCTTAAAACCCTTCTGAAAACAAATTGTTGGACCTCTGACACATGCTCCTCTCCAACTCTGTGAGTGACCTCATATGTTCCAAAGGCCAATTCCTTCCCAGCCATTCCAGCACCAGAGGTCAGTCCCATCTGGCCCAGCCAGGCTGGCTGGGAGGCCAAGATGGGGCTTTTCCCCCAGATCCCCATGCCCCACGTGTTCCCTTCTCTGTGGCATGGGGACCCCCCCAAGATGGGGACACCCAAGCCCTCCTCCTCATCACCTCCATCTCTTTTAGTTCTCAAGAGGGCACAGACCAGCTCAGCAGGGTGAAGCAGCTCTCACTGAGGATGTGGCACCCTGGATCTGGTGTTTGAGGGGTCACCCTGGAGCAGCTCCAGCTGGCACCTGGTCTTAGAGGGGCAAAGCCCCAGCAGGGCCTCTGCTCTGCCTCTCCCCAAGGGGACACAGCTACAGGGACACATCAGGCACCCCTCGGCCATGCTGGGCTCTCTGTGCCCCTGGACACTGCTGAGTCTCACAGGGACACCTCTGAGTCTCACAGGGACACCTCTGAGTCTCACAGGGACACCTCTGAGTCTCACAGGGACACCTCTGTGCCCCTGGACACTGCTGAGTCTCACAGGGACACCTCTGAGTCTCACAGGGACACCTCTGTGCCCCTGGACACCTCTGAGTCTCACAGGGACACCTCTGAGTCTCACAGGGACACCTCTGTGCCCCTGGACACCCCTGAGTCTCAGGGGACACCTCTGTGCCCCTGGACACTGCTGAGTCTCACAGGGACACCTCTGACTCTCACAGGGACACCCCTGAGTCTCAAGGGACACCTCTGTGCCCCCTGGACACTGCTGAGTCTCACAGGGACACCTCTGTGCCCCTGGACACCCCTGAGTCTCAGGGGACACCTCTGTGCCCCTGGACACCTCTGAGTCTCACAGGGACACTGCTGACTCTCACAGGGACACCTCTGAGTCTTACAGGGACACCTCTGTGCCCCCTGGACACTGCTGAGTCTCACAGGGACACCTCTGTGCCCCTGGACACCCCTGAGTCTCAGGGGACACGCGAGTGCCCGTGCCCTGTGCTGCAGCCCTGCTGCCCTGTCTCCAGGAGTCTTTCTTGTGGTTTGCTCCTGACCTGTTCAACCAGGAAATGTGGCGGCCTCAGGCTGTGTGCTCACCCAGCTGTAGCCTGAGGGGGTTTTAGTGGCTTTTCCTTCACTTTCTCTCCTGTTTCCCTCACAAATGCAGCAGGCCAGCACACAGTGACGCTCAGACTCACTTGCTGGACTGACCCTAAAATTTATTGCTGTGAGTTTCTGTCATTGATCTGGGGGTCAAGACATTCGTGTGCGAGCTCAGCATATTTCAGCACACTGCAAGCCCAGGATGGTTAAAAAGAAAAGATGCTTTCCATCATTTTCCATCCAAATCTCACCTGAACCAGCAAAGAACTCATCCCAACATACAGCTCCCCAGGCAGCAGACAGAGGCCTCATCACAAGGGGGGCTCAGGGCTGCTGGCTTAGCTCCCCCCAACAGCAACATCGGCCCTACTCACTGCCTGGGCAAGAAGCCTCATCTCATCTCATCCCTGGGGAACAGGCAGAGCTGTCCCCTCACTGAGTCTGCGCTTGGGATCCAGCCTCAGAGTGGGGAGCTCCTGGCCAAAGCCCTGGGGAGCTGGCAGGACCTCCCTCCTACCCGTAACTCCCCCCACTGCCAGGAAGCTCTGAATATTTGATCAGAGCCTGCGGGAAATCTCCGGTGTCAGTAAATGGCTGGGGCAGATGGGCAGCCCTGGAGAGGGGCTCTGCCACTGAGATGGGACATGCTGCTCACACTGCCACCCAGCCATGCCCACCCCTGGGCAGGCACAGAGCTCATCCTCATCCTCATCCTCATCCCCATCCTCGTCCTCGTCCTCATCCCCATCCCCATCCCCATCCCCATCCCCATCCCCATCCTCATCCCTGCCCTCGTCCCCATCCTCATCCTCATCCCTATCCTCATCCTCATCCTCGTCCCCGTCCCCATCCCCATCCCCATCCTCATCCCCATCCCATCCCATCCTCATCCCCATCCCCATCCCATCCTCATCCCTGTCCCCATCCTCATCCCTGCCCTCGTCCCCATCCTCATCCTCATCCCTATCCTCATCCTCATCCTCGTCCCCATCCCCATCCCATCCCCATCCCCACACCCAAGAGCTCACCAGGCTGCTCATGGCCATGCCAGCACCCCTGAGCTGTGAGGGGAAACAAACTCTCCTTAGGGAGTCACAACCTCATGGAGCAGCGAGAAAGGCAGAGCAAGTCCAACAAGAAACAATATATACTAAATAATACTTACATGGGGATTCAAACCTCACAAATCCCAGTGACATTTTTGCATTGCAAAATTGCATTTCAGACACACATTCACATGCTCCTAATTGGATATGGTAAAATGCAGCTGCAGTCCAAATGGCTTTCAAAAGCACTAATAAAATAATAATTTTAATGATTTTCTGTGGTTAGTAAAACAATGTTCATTTATAAAAAAAAAAACACCTGAATTGATCTAAGTCGCACAAAATTAGGTGCCTCCATTTCTCATTACTGCTACCATGTCCTACATCACCCTAATAAATTGCACTGTCATCAGCTCATTACAGGGAGGCAGCTGAGCGCGGTCCTGTAATTATTTCAGACTGGGCTATTGATGGTTCCCCAGGCAGGACATGGTCCCACAGCACAGCCACGGGCCTGCCCAGGTTCTGCCCACTCACCCACGGCGTGCTGGGCCTCGCCCCCACCACCAAACCCCTGCCCAGGGGACTTGACTTTGCCTCTGGAAGCGTGGGAGCTGTTCTGCAGCTGTGCAGAAAGGAGTCCTGCTCCTTTCTGGAGTGAGCCTCGGTGGCACATGAACTCCTGCTCTGCACCACAGGTACTTTTCCAGCAGCAGCCATCCCTGTGCCGGGTCATCACAGCCGTGCTCCAAAACATGATTCACCTTTCACATCCTTCAAATTCCCCATCCATTACCCACAGGATAATTTACTCTGAATTACAGCTCTTCATCATCCTTTGTGCTAGGAAATAACGCGCGGTTTCTAACGATGGGTGTTCTCAGCCCAAAGTGGCCTTAATGCCGGGGCTGTTCGGCAGGGACTGTCAGTGCCATTCCTCAGCTGCTCTTTGCACGTTTTCCAAGCATTCACTGTATTTTCCTTTTAACCTGCCGTTTCTTTCCGGCCCCTGATGCACTCTGACAGAACTGCACTATCGTTCATGTCCATGGGTCCTTTTTCTGCTCCCCGCTTTACAGAGTCACTTCCAGCAGAGCAGAAAGCAACAATGAACGGAGGAATGTGCAGGACTCTTCACCTCCTCGCTCCTGCTCGGGGCTCACGGTGGCTGGCTCTGCCCTTGGGACCCCGGGCTGTTCCTTCTGCTGGCAGCACACGGTGAGGACCAGCCTGGGCTGTGGGACAGGCAGAGCCCCTCGGCTATCCGAATGTCTGTGCTCAGCACCGCTCAGCACCGCTCACCAGAGAGCAGCTCCAGCAGCTCCTGACCCACCTGGTGCTGAGCCAGCAGCCCTGTGGGACACTGCAGTGACACTGGTGTCACTGGGACCCAGCCCTGCCACACCCTGGGGACAGCCCAGGCCATTCCCGGGGTGTCCTTCACCTGCTCGCTGCCTTTCAGCAAAACAAAGGAGAATGGAGTGGAGTAAATCCATCTGGGGTGTTAAATTAGATTATGCCCGGGTTGCCTGGATACTGTATAATCACCGCCATGACCAAACACAATTTAATACGGGGTAATTGGTAGCCAAGGTTCAGTGCAGGGGAAGCAGGGAACAGTCAATATTCCAGTGTGGTCGGAGCTCCTGTGGGTGCCACAGGGGCTCCTGGCTCTGCTCCCACAGAGCTCCTGCCTCCTGTGTCTGGAATTACTTCCTACATGGATTTTATAGACGTATTTATGTGTATGTATATAAAAACTGCTCTGTGTGTATTTTCTATATAAACATGTATTATATATATATAGAACGCATGTATCTGAATCTCAGCCAAAAGTGCCATTATTAGTTCAAATATCTTCCCTGATTCAGAACGAAATCTCTGAGCAAACAACCATCTGAAGGGAACAAAAGGAAAATCTGGAGTGTTTCTATTTCCATGCCTGGGACAAACCTTTGCAATCAAAGTGCTTGTTGTGGCTGGCCTAGCAAGTCTTCACAGGATGGAAAATAATGCAGCTCATTCCTTTTGCTACATCCCCTGTCTGCCACCACCAGCAGAGCTTCTGTTTAACAGAGCCCAGCAATCCCCAAAACCATTTAGGCTGCTCTGAGTGGTTTGATAAAAATTAAACACCTTGCACAGAGGGAAGGTAAAAAGCAGAGGGAGTAGAGGCAGCACGCTGGGTGGAGAGGCATCTGTGGCACCAGAGCCACCAGCCTTGTTCCCACAAATTATGTGCAAAGAATCGTGGAATCATTTAGGTGGGAAAAGCCCTCCAAGATCATGGAGCCAAACTGCTCTCCCAGCACTGCCAAGGCCACCACTCAGCAATATCCTCAGGTTTAAATCCCTCCAGCAATGGTGACTCCACCACTTCCCAGGGCAGCCTGTGACAGGGCTGGACAACCCTTTCAAGGAAGGAATTTTCCCTAATATCCAACCTGAAACCTCCCTACTACAACTTGAGGAC